AATATTTTATATATGTATATATATATGTAACTGTTAATATAATACACACTTACATTTTCATTTATCGCCGCTGTCGTCGTCCCCGTCGTCGCATTATCCGTCGCATTCTTGCTCGCGCGTCCGCCGAACGACAAGCGCTTGTACAAACTATTCACCGGCGTTGTCGCCTGACCGCTGCCGCTACCGCTGCCGTTCGCATCGCTGTTAAATTCGCCCGAACTCGCGCCACTCGACGGCGTCAACAGCAAGTCTTGCTCACACTCTGACAACTTCTGATAGTTTTGCAGCGTGGCGGGCGACTGTTCGTCTGGTGTGTTCGCGAGCAAGTTCTTCGAGTACTTGATCGTCATATCCGCTTCCGGCGTTGTTGTTGTTGTTGTCGTTCCAGTTGTTGCTATAGTGCTATTTGCAGTTTGCTTGCGCTGTGCTGTCACATTCACCGGCTCGTAGAACTCACCATCACAGTTGCTGCGATAGCTGCCCTGCAGGCAATTGAAAGTGGTCAGCAGGCTCTCGGCGCTCAAAATGTCGCCACCTTCACCACCACCACCGACGCAACCAGGTGTCGCTGCGGTGCCGTTGTGACTGCTGCTGAAAAAGGTGCTGTTCGAGCCACTTGCGGTAGTTTGAAAGTTTTTGTAGTTCTTTATGCTGTCGTAGCCGCTGAGCAATTCGTTTTTAATGAACTTTTCAATGAAATTCGTTGGCGATTTAATGCCCTGTTGCATGGAACTGAGTGAGGCGAAGAATTTGCTGCCGCTCTCCGTGTGACTCGATGTGGAACGACGTTGCTTGTGACTGCTGTTATTTGTGCTGTCGTTGTTGATGTTACTTTTGTGTGTTCTATTGCTTATGTTGTTGTCGCTGTTGGCGCGATTGTTGTTGCCGTACTCATGCACTTGTTGTAATCCATAGATTTGTGAGGAGCCCAATAGGCCAAACATGCCGCTGGCCACCGGGTTGAGAGCGGATTTTTTTTAATGTGAATACACTTTTTGTTTTCTCTCTATGTTTTAGCGGTTAATATGGTGATTCGTATGTGACCGAGTGGAATTTGGTGAGTTTAGGAACATTTACATGTTGAGTAGTACTAACTAGTGTTGTTAGAATGCCTGCAAAGAGAAAGTTAATAAAATGATACGGTATTAGTAAAATGTGCGTATTAGAGTTGCCATATATTTTTTATTTTTTCAAAAATTAACGTTTTAAGTAGTTGAGTTATGATGCACGATTGTGTTTATTTTCAAATAAATTTTTATATAGAGTTGCCACATGTATTTTTTTTAGAAAAGGAGTTTAGTTTTCTTTTAACTTTCAAATTAAATTCAGAATTTTCATAAAATATGTGTTTACAATTTTTTTTTATTTGAAGAAAATTTGGGTGCCAATATTTAAATAGAGTTGCCATACACATACATACATACCGACGTTTATTTTTTTTAACTTTAAAATCAATATCAGAATTTTCGTTAAATACACATTTGCAACTTTTTGTGTTTATTTTAGATTACTTTTTGTGTACAATTTTAAATAGAGTTGCCCTAAGTATATTTAAGACTAACAATTAAATTTAATTTTAGCTTTAAAATTAAATATAAAATTTTCTTAAAATATATTTATGCGTTTTTTTTATTTCAAGACAATTTGGGTGCAAAAAGTTAAATATGGTTACCATATCCATTTTTGCTTTCAAAAATGATTTCTTTTTTTTACTGTAAAATTAAGTGTATAACTCTTTTTTTTTGTAAAGAGAGCTGCCACCTCATTTGAATTCAATTTAATTTCTGCTTATGCCACATACATACGTATATGTACATATATACATACGTACATATATATTTATTATTTATTACATTTTTTGAACTTTAAAATTAAAGTTATACCTTTATAATGTATATTGATTCAACATCTTTGTAAATAGAGTTGCCATCTCACTCTCACTTAATTTAATTTCTTTTTAGGTCTTTAATAATAAAGTTTAGTTGAAATTGTTAACTACAATAAAAAGTTTTTCTAAATTCGAACAAGACATTTGTGGAGCAGGGTTGCCAAATATTTGTAGTCTTAAAAGTTTATATACATATGTAGTTATTTTTAAAAAGTAGTGAAATTGAAATTAGAATTTTTTTGGAAAAAATTAGTGTATTAGTGCACTTCTAATAGGGTTTTGGTTTGATGCAGTCATTTTTAACAGGATTGCCAAATTTTATAATAAAATAATAAAATATTTCTGAAATATATGTACATATGTATATAAATAATAAAAGTTGGCAACTCAGTTAACTACTTTTTCATAGTCTAGATGCTAAAATAAATGTTTGGTTTGATGCAGTCATTTTTAACAGGGTTGCCAAATTTTATAATAAAATAATAAAATATTTCTGAAATATATGTATGTATATAAATAGTAAAAGATGGCAACTCAGTTAACTATTTTTTCATAGTCTAGATGCTAAAATAAATGTTGGTAACCCTGTTGAATTTTTTAATATATAGGTAATAAATATAACCTTTTATATATCAAGAAACGGTATCTATGTTATGTTATAAAAAATTTTAACAGGGGTGCCAGATTTTATTTTCAAATATATACAAAACATTTCTGATTCATAAATAAATAAGAAAGTTGGCAACCCTGATAAAATATTGTTCATAAAATATAGTGGATTGTAATATAAATTTAAATATTTTATGTATGTATGGTTTAGAAATGGTAAACATATGTATAAGCTATATTATGAAAATTTTTTCAACAGGGTTGCCAATTTTATTTTTACATTACATTAGGCAACAAAAAAAAATATTGTAATATTTGAGTTTATAGTGTAAAATCATAAAATTTTAATGTTAGGGTTGCCAACTCATCTTCTCACAAATAAAAAATCATGCTCATTTGCTTTGTTAAACTATGAAATTGAACACAACAGTTCATGTAACTATAAATTATGCTGCCAAACAAACAAGGTATTTATAAAACCACAACAATAACAAGTTTGCCTGGCATTCAAGTATACATTTCCTATGCGTTGATAGCAATTATCACCACATGCAACGCGCTTATGCAAAATTTACCACAAATATGCAATTGCCGTGCTTCAAATGTGCAAGTATCGACTGGATTTGGTAATTGATATGCTGCGCTGAAGTTTATGGATTTTGTTTTGCAATTATATGTATATATTTAAATATATATTATATGTTAGATATAAAGAGTACAGATATGCATCCAGTTATGCAACAATTATGCAATTTATGTGTATGAGTGCCAACAAAGATATGCAATCGCATAACGTACAATTTACTATTGTGTATTTGAAGCAATTGTGGCAAGCGTCAAACTGTCACAAATGCACAGACGCACATAGTAGATGTCATGTCGTGAAACATTCAACAGTTATATACGCGTAAGTATGTAACTATGCAGATAATCACGTGTACGTGTCGCTTCGGTTGTCATATTATTCAATGTATGTATGTGTATATGTGTGTATTGCCTCTATTACACTTTAATAACATATCAAACAGTTCAAGAAATTCAAATAAAATAACGAATCAATAGAAACTGCAAGCGTGAAATATATCGACGAATGCGACTCGTGCACGTACCACTTCGCACAGCACGCGTGCAAGCATATTAGTTCGTATACAGTTCGTATGTAAATATGTCTACAAATGTATGTTACATTTAAATCGATCTGTTATTAACATAAATATAAAGTAAAAGTGCTGAGCTTGACGGCTTATTGAATATATTTCCTATTCATGCTCCACTTGCTGCTGGAAAAAGTGGCACAAGCAATTCGTATATTGAAATGGACACATATTTTTTCTTGTTGTAATACTGTTATTGTGTGTATTAATACTTTATGTATATTAAGTTATGCTAATAATGGGGAAAGAAATGCGTAGGCAACTGAAGTTGATTCTTGTTTGTGAAATGACAAAAATAAAAATATTAATGAAAGTAGTCAAACAACGGAAGCTTCTCTGCTCGATATTTTAATTATTAGCTAGTTTTTAAGCACTACGTAGCAGCATATTAAACTGTTAAATTAATAACAGTAACTATAATAAATTTCATGCATACAAAACATTCCTTACAGTAACTTTGAGCGTTAAATTTGTATGGTAGCTATATGCTATAGTGGTCCGATCTGAACAGTTTTTCGGAGACTGCACCGTTGTCTTAAGTAACAATCCATACCAAATTTCTTGAAGATATCTCGTTAAATGAAAAAGTTTTTCATACAAGAGCTTACTTTTGAGCATTCGGTTTGTATCACAGCTATATACTATAGTGGTTTGATCTGAATATATTCTACAGAGATTATAGTACTATCTGAGATAATAATTTGTGTGAAATTTTGTTAAGATACTATTTCAAACAAAAAAGTTTGAAAAGTGTTGAACTTTATTTTAAGCGTATAGTTTGTATGGCAGTTATATGCTATAATGGTCCGATCTCAACAATTTTTCGGAGACTAACCCGTTGTCTTAAGTAACAATTAACACCAAATTTCTTTAATATATCTCATCAAATGAACAAGCTTTCCAAACATAAACTTCATTTAATCGTTCGGTTTGTATGGTAGCTATATGCTATAGTAATCTGATCTGTCTAACTTCTTCAGATAATATAGTACTACCTTGAAAATTAACTTGTGTGAAATCTTATTAAGATGCTGCTTCAAATAAAAAAGTTGTCCATACAAACACTTTATTTTAAGCGTTCAGTTTGTATGAAACCCACATGCTATAGTAGTCCGATCTGGAATTTTTTTTCGAAAACTGTACCATTTATTTGAGCACAAATCGGAGCAGAAATTTCGTGAACAAATATTCTCTTATATTATACAATTTTTTCCATACAGCAAGTAAACAATTTTTCTTATAAAAATTAAAAATACGGACCAGCAATTTTTCTAATCAACAGATAGAAAAAAAAATCAACCAATTTTAAGCATTAAACTTTCATTAGCTACACACCACCCAAAATCGTCTAAAGCAATTTTTTATTTCGGTATGCGTGCTGTTGTAGCTCTCCTGTGCTTCTAAGTTCCTAAGCCGCGCTTCATAATTGGCGTAGGAAATTTCGATTTCAGCTGCTGTTTGACCTACATACATACAAACACAATAAGTTCCCAATTAGGCGTTCTTAAGCGCAATCGGAAATTTGTCGCACACAAACAAACGTATATTCATATACATACATGTGTACATATAGTATGTACGCCCCGCATGCGCAATTACAGCATTTGATTTGCATGACTGCCTTGTATGTATAAATGTTTTTTGGTTAACTGTAGAATTATTATAATGAAATTAAGCACAGGAAGTGTTGATTTATTTGGGTTTCTTTTAATTTGTTGTTTATTATTTTTTTTTATAATTTTTTTCTATATTTCTTAAAGGCGATTTCGCTTTTATTTGGTTAAAAAATAGTCTGCGCTTGAAATTCTCGGTTTGCTTGTTGGTTTCCGTTGTGTTATTTATAGATATACTAATTTGAAAATCATTTAAATTGTTGCAGTGAAAGCTAGTTTTTTCGAAATTATGATAATTCTGCTTTAAGCTCTTGAAAAGCTTAGATTTTTTAATTAGTTTAATTTTATATTGGTATATTTGTAAAGGTAGCTAGTTTTATAAGTTTTAAAGCTAAAAAAATTACAAAATTGTGTAGCAACCTCATAAAGAAAGTTTTTGTTAGAAATGGAGGATATTAAGAAAAAATTCAAAATGCAATTCCCAAAGTATTTTTTTTTTTTAGTTTTTAACGTTTTTTGGGTAAATTGCCAGATATATGGCAACCCCTAAATTTCCAGCTTTTATGATACTAGATATAAGGTATAAGAAATTCTGATTTTTCGCTAGTAAATTTGCATTAAATTCCATCCAAAAAGTTTCAATTACAGTAGTCTGTAGCTATAAAATATAGTTTGTTAATAACGCCACATGTTTCTATATCAAAAATGCCACCGACAAAATTGTAATTCATATAGCATGGCAGATTAGCAGCTGTAGCGCTTAAAAAATATCGTTTGATAAACAAATATTGTTTGTAAGTGAAACTTGGTATTTCTCTATCAAAAAATTCTTTCCTAAAACCATAGAT